GGTAACCTGCATATCATATTTTCAACATGAGAATCGAAGAACTTGTGATTGACGGTTTTAAGTCATACGCCGTTCGTACAGTAATTTCAGGGTGGGATCCCGAATTCAATGCAATCACAGGTCTCAATGGCTCCGGCAAATCAAACATTCTGGATGCAATTTGCTTCGTACTCGGAATTACGAATATGAGCCATGTGAGTACAGTAATAAGTGTTATGTACACAGTGAACAAACGTTTGCCTTACGAATGCGCCAAATGCGAATAGGTTCGAGTGAGCAACATGCAGGAACTGATTTATAAACGTGGGCAAGCCGGCGTTAACAAAGCGTCTGTGACGATTGTATTTAACAACGAAGATAGGGAAAATAGTCCTGTCGGATTTGAGAATTACAATCAAATTACAGTAACAAGACAGGTAATAATTTGCATGCTACGTTTATTCATGCTTCGAACTTTTCAGATCCTTTTATTAATAATTCTACTCAATCACTTTGTATAAGATTATTATGGGTGGTCAGAGCAAATACATTGTGAATGGTCATCGAGCTCAGCAACAAGTGGTTGGAAACCTGTTTCAATCAGTACAACTCAATATCCATAATCCTCATTTTTTGATCATGCAAGGTCGAATCACCAAAGTTCTCAATATGAAGCCACCAGAAATTCTGGCTATGATTGAAGAAGCTGCCGGAACGCGCATGTTTGAGGAGAGAAAAGAAAAGGCATTGAAGACCATCGCGAAAAAAGAAAAGAAGGTCGAAGAAATAAATCAGGTAAGGTTTAAGTTTCTAATGTTTGGTAATGAATTTTTGTATTGATCGATGTTATTATGATCTTAGTTGTTGAACGAAGAGATCGGGCCAAAGTTGGACAAGCTGAGAACGGAAAAAAGGTCCTATTTGGAATTTCAAAAAACTGAATCTGATATCGAAAGGCTTAGTCGTTTAGTTATTGCGTTTGAATATACGAAGTATCAAGTTTGTATACTACATACTATTTATTCTACTTCGCAAAGAATCATGTTCACATTCTTACGCAATCATGATGTCTGCTGTAAAGGATAAACTGCATAAATCTGGGGCGGATTTTGATGCGAAAAGAGCAAAAGTTCGAGATTTAGAAACGCTGAACGAACAACTCAAAGTAGAGCTTGCACACCTGGAAGAGGATATAAAGCAAACAACACGTAACAAGGAGAAGGTACCAATCGAGTTTTAGGCCTTATGTAGCAAGTATGTTAGATATTTACACAACTTCATTGTCTCCATCGACTATTTAGGAGATAGGCAAAGGTGGAAAAATTCAAGAATTGGAGCGAGCGGTAACAGAATATTCGAATAAAATAGTCCGAATACGAACAAAATGCGACCTCAATAAAGCATCTATCGCAGATGAGATAAAGAACAAAAATAATCTTTTGTCCGGAAAAGCAGAGGTAACTAGCATCGAATTCGTTATTGGTTTCGTTGAACTATATTAAGGTTGCTAGAAATTTAGATTGAAGAAAATTTGAGATTAAAAAATGAAGAGTCCAAAAAATTAGTTGCACAGTTCGAGAGTATTAAAAAAGCATATGACGAGAAAAAAGAGCAAGTTCGGAAGGCAGAAGAACTCTTGCAAACCTTGTCAACTGGTGTTTCTGCCCAGGAAGGGCATGAAAATGGATACATGGAACAACTTCAAGGTTATATATTACATATTCATACGCATACATGAAAAGACTATTTGATGTATGCTAATATATAAATTACTATATTTGCTTTAGAGGCTAAAAATAATGCCACACATGCATTAACCGAAATCGAGCAAGCAAAGTTAAAGATATCTCACCTCACGAAAGAGCTGAAGGAAAAAGAGCCACAAGCCCTAAAGGCGCAGAGAGATAATCGAGGGCTACTAGGTAGCTTGGAATTGGCAAAAAAATCTAAGCAAGACCTGCAGGTAAGGATAGTTAATCCGTTATTC